CAAGAACGTGCTCAAAGAGGACCGAATCTGACAAATGAGATCCGTGCAATACTGGTTGACCACGTTGTCAATCACGGGCTGACGATGAGGGAGGCTGGACTGAGAGTACAGCCAAATCTAAGCCGATACACAGTGGCAAGTGTGATAAGAACATTTCGACTGGAAAATAGGTATTGTAAAAATATCATCATATCAAAAACATTTGCACGGTTTCAGCAACTGCTTACAGTACTGTATTCTATGCACTATCAGCACTTCTGTTACCTTTTCCTAAGAAATTACTGTACTATTGTTTACTGTTTTTTTTTCTACATAGGATTGAGGGTCAGGAACAACGAGGGGGAAGGCCTCCTATGTTCACAGAACGGCAAGAGAGGGAGATAGTAAACATGGTTTTGGCCAACAATGCTATAACCCTCAAACAGCTCCAAGCTAACATTGTCAATAACCACGTCGGTTTCAACAATATCCATCAGGTCTCAACATCAACACTGGCACGCATCCTAACAAAAAACCATATTCAAATGAAGAAAATTTATCGAGTGCCTTTCGAGCGCAATTCCGAAAGGGTGAAACGACTGCGGCATGATTATGCAGAGGTATGTATTCACCTAAGCATTGTGATCTTGCATACTGTCTAATAATCTTTTACTGTACTGTGATATGTATACTAGATCTACACTGAACACAATTTTGCCTGACACTGTTCTTCAGAGAGTTTTAGAAATGGATGGAGAGGAGATCCAGCATGAGTTCATTTACGTAGATGAGGCTGGGTTCAACCTGACGAAAACACGAAGGAGGGGAAGAAGCATCATTGGCCACAGAGCTATAGTCAATGTCCCAGGGCAATGTGGGGATAATATAACACTCTGTGCAGCCATTACACAGAATGGGGTCCTCCACCGCCATGCCCATATGGGCCCTTACAACACAGCACTCATACTTACATTCTTGGACCAATTGCACAACATAACAGCAGCAAATCAAACCGATCATATGCAATACATTGTTGTCTGGGACAATGTGTCTTTCCACCGCTCTGCTCTGGTTCAGAACTGGTTTCAGCAACATCCACATTTCACCGTCCTATATCTTCCACCATACTCTCCATTTCTCAACCCTATAGAAGAGTTTTTCTCGGCATGGCGGTGGAAGGTATATGATCTCTGTCTCCAGGCTGAGGTACCCCTCATCCAGGCCATGGAGGAGGCCTGTGAGCAGATGGAGGTAGCAGCAATTCAAGGATGGATTCGTCATTCAAGACGTTTCTTTCCAAGGTGTCTTGCTAATGACAACATTGCCTGCGATGTTGATGAAATTCTCTGGCCAGATCCAGCTAGGCGAAGAGACGATGTCTAGTTTTTGTTTTGTTTTTTACAGTAAAATTACAGTACAATACGTAAAGTGACATTTTGTTACAGTATTATGAATCTCCATGTCAACATTTTGGGCGTGTTGAGAAATAAATGAGTTTCTTCAGTCTGCAACATTGGTCTTGTGTAGTGTTTGGTAAATTTACATTATATTTGTACTTTGTTGATGGTAGCGAACTCTAATCATAGGGAAGTAGAAGTGCTAAAAGTGTTTTAGGTTTATCACAGCAGAGTGTAACTCGTGCAAACAGAGTATAGTAATGTGAAACGTGTGTGTTTCATATGGTAACAAAGTGTGGTTTTTAAACAGAAGTGTATAGTTTTTACAAGAGTGTTTAATTATGCAAAGGGTCTGTAGTGTTTTGCTAATTGGGTGTGTGGTTGTGCTAATTGTGTGTAGTGTTTTGAAAACACGGGCCCTGTTTTGAAAATCGTGCTTAAGCAATCCAAAAAAACTGTAAAACACACAAGCTGTTCCTGGTTACCTGCTTACGAAAGAGGATTAGGGCCACTGAAAAAAAAAAGTATATTGATTTTTAAATTTTATTTCAGTTCAACATGGGAAAAAAAGTCAGAATTCTGAGATTAAAGTCAGAATTCTGACTTTTTTCTCAGAATTTTGACTTTAATCTCAGAATTCTGACTTTTTTTTCTCAGAGTTCTGAGATTAAAGTCAGAATTCTGACTTTTTTCTCAGAATTCTGACTTTAATCCCAGAATTCTGACTTTTTTCTCAGAATTCTGACTTTAATCTCAGAATTCTGACTTTTTTCTCAGAATTCTGACTTTAATCCCAGAATTCTGACTGAATTCTGACAATAAAAAAAAGTCAGAATTCTGAGAAAAAAGTCAGAATTCTAAAAAAAAGTCAGAATTTTGAGAAAAAAGTCAGAATTCTGAGAAAAAAGTCAGAATTCTGAGAAAAAAGTCAGAATTCTTGTCATGATTGGTTACAGAGTAAACTCAATATGCAGAACACAAACGGAGGCTGATGAAAAGTTTAACAAGGTTTATTGTTACACAAGCACATGAATATTGCAACAGGAACTGGTTCAGGCCTGGGGGCAGGTTCACTGGAGTCTGCAGGGATGATAGTTCAGTTAGCACAGGAACTGATGAGTCATGAGACTTAGAGTTTGCTGAATAATGCCTTGAAGGAGTCCGGGTTTCTCTTTGAGAGAGGTAACTGTTGGATCCAGAGACTGTTTGTTCAGCAGAGTCCAATAACTGCTTCAGCGTCTTACTTCTGACTTTGAGGGCAGACCTTGATTTGGGTTTCCAGCTCTTAACCAAGAGCTGCAGGGGAATCCAGAGAAGAGTCTTCAGGTTTGGCTCACGAGGGGAGGGCAGGCTTGGCAGGTTAAGCTCATCCAGAGCTTCAAGGAGAGACAGGATTCCTGTGAGGCAAAAACAAGGAAGAGTTAGAATCTTATCTCTACAAGAGATAGTAAAGATTCTCAGGTTTACTAGGCTCAGGTTGCTAACCAAACTAGATCAACACTGCGGCGTTGAGGCAAGGTCTGAAGGCAGGTTATATAGTGGTGGATCCTCTGATGATGAGATGGGCCACAGGTGTGTTGGAGGCTCAGCTCAGGAGGACCCACGGCGCACTCTGCTGGAGGAAGGTGGTACAGCTCCAGATCCCAACAATTCTGACTTTTTTCCCATACTATACTGAAATAAAATAAAAAAAATCAGTTAACTTTTTTTTTTTCCAGTGGCCCTAATCCTCTTCCGTACCTGCTGGCGTATTGAGGGTGCACATTTAATATTTCAGTGAGGTTAACCGTGTGTGTGTGTGTGTGTGTGTGTGTGTGGGTGTGTACGTGTGTATGCTACGGGGACTTGTCATCTTCAGTCTGGCGGCGTCTTTGCTGGGTTCAAACCCGAGGCAACGCTCAGTAAGCGGTTAAAACGCCAGAGTTGTTGGAATGCGGAAGTGACGTCACCAACACGTGACTCGCTAAATGTTTATCAGATTATTATTTTTTTTATTTTATGTTTAAAAGTTTGGTGTAATTGAATAAGTCAATGAATCTGTGTAAAGGAATGAAGTTGTAAAAATTATTTGTTTGTTTTACATTGCTGGTAACTGGAGGGAGGCTGAGGCCCAGAGGATCTTGTATATGTTTAGTTTCTTTTGCACCCTGTTTTGAGTTTTTGAGCACAATAAATCACCAACACCGGTAACCGACTGAGCCTGGATTCTTGGCGGCCAAAGAACCCCGTCACAGTGACCCAAATCATCACTGTTACTGTTAATATATAGTAAATTAAATCACTACTGTTAAATTGTATTTATGGTCCAATTGTTTATTTGAATTCTTATTCTGGATTAGTTGGAGACATACACTAGGCTATATCAGCCCCACCAAAAATATTTTTCACCAGCCGCCACTGCCACCTACTGTTCTTAATGCTTTGTTCTGGAATGTTGGATAAACCTAAATTATATCAGGGAGACTTTGGATACCCCACTAAGACACAACCAGGTTAGTATTTCAACTTGCTAGTTTTGCAGGATTCCAACAACAAACATCTTTTTTTTTTAATTCTGAGATTATTTTAAAGCTTTTGTTATGATGATTGTTGTGGTGTTGAACAGTTTTTTCAGCACCACGATGAAAAAAGAGAACCAGTCTACGTAAAGGAAGAGGGCGGGCTTAATTCTGTGTTTCCAGCCAGAAATGAAAAGCCGTCAGATGAGTGAGAGGAACCATGAAGGAAACACCTCAGAGCCTGCTGCTTTGTAAGTACAGAACATCTGAGTTAGAAAGATTATTACTGGCTGCTCTGATGATGATTGATGGAGGAACAGAAGGAGGAGAAACAAGTTAGACTGAGTTAATGAAAGAGGTGAAATGTGCAACATAAAGATTATGTTAAACTGTGAACTAAACACATGAACCTAGCTTAGAAAGAGATAGTAAACTACAGTAGAACTTGGTCATTAAGAACCTCTTAGATGTCTACTTCTACATCACAGACATCAGTTTAATATCATAATATAAACTTTGATTTAAATCCGTCTGAATGTGTTTTCTGTAGGTCTGAGCTTCCTGCTGTGCTGCAGAACAAACAAAGGTTAGAAACATTTTCACTTGAACTTCTTGAATGGTCTCTTAGATGAACATTAAATATTTATTCTGGGTTTTCTAAAGGAAGAATTAAAACATTAAATATCTTTGTTTTGTATATAGATTATTTGATTTAGGTCAGTGGTCACAACCTTTTTTTGGCTTAGAACTACAGTACTTGATGGGTTATAAGTCATATGAAGGGTTACCAATACTGATCTATAAACTAAAGCAGTCACCGTTCAGCTAAACTTCTTGCATAATAAACATATTTATAATGTTTCTCTGAATTAATACTTTTCTGTTTTCACCTTGAAATATCTTTAAACATAATAAAAAAAAATAGCGACAGAATAAGATACAATTTAAAACTTTGCCCACTGGTGAGTTATGGTGTTTCCAGAAGATCCTGACAGCACCCCATGTGTTCCTTATGGACAATTTGGTGGTCATGGGTGCCACATTGTTGATAGCTGATTTTGGTTTTACTGTGTCAATTAATGAAAAAATATATATTTTATCCTAAAAGACAGACTTTCATTTCCAGCCCACCCAGCTGCTCTGACTGTGAGTCCCAGCAGATCTCAGTTCTTTCAGTTTGACTCTGTGTCTCTGAGCTGTGAGGAGAACAACAGCTCTGCTGGATGGACTGTATGGAGGAACACAACCAAAGGAACCAGTCGTCAGTGTGGAGATGGATGGGGGAAGCAGCTGGTTCTACCTGTAACATCACCTTACATCGCTTTGATAGTGGAGTTTACTGGTGTTCGTCCAGAGAGGGAGCAGCCAGCAGCAGCATCCAGCTCACTGTCACTGGTAAGATCAGACTGTGGAGTTAGTGTTGATGAAGCTGTGTGGAAATGGATGAAATGCTGTAGTTTGTCTCTGTGTTGAGGTGGATCAGTGATCCTGCAGAGTCCTGTCCTCCCTGTGATGGAGGGAGATGACGTCACTCTGAGCTGTCTAACAGAGACCACTCCCTCCAACCTCCCAGCTGCTTTCTATAAAGATGGCTCCCTCATCAGGACTGAGCCCAAAGGTCACATGACCCTCCACCATGTGAACAGCTCTGATGAAGGCCTCTACAGGTGTAACATCAGGGGTCATGGAGAGTCTCCATCCAGCTGGATCTCTGTTGAAGGTCAGGATCACTGATCTTCATCTTTTTGTTTCCTGACTTCAGTTCATAAAGTCTCATCATTCAAAGCTTAATGATACCTTAAGAATTATCTTTATTTCAGCTCCACCCACCACCAACGCCTCTGCACCTCGAACCACACCTGCCTCTCCTCATCTTGCCTCCCCTTCATCTCTTCCTGCCATCTTGTTGCCTCTTGCATCTCTATGTGTGGTGTTTTTACTGGTGCTACTGGTGAAGAAACACTTTCACAAGTCAGAAGGTTAAATGCCTTGAATTAAAAATACATTATTCACCCAAAGCTGCTTATACTTAATCTACCTTATTGTTTTAAGACAAAATATTACTATTAATAGAAAGTCAGGCATTTCAGTCATTGTATTAATTTATTTGTTATTGATTTTGTGCAGCACTGATGTTGTTTTATTTATTTGTTTTATTTCAGCTGATAAAGGAGATGACATCATATACAGCGACGTCCAAATAACTCAAATTCAGCAGCATGAAGTCAAACCCAGCAGAGGTGAGGAGGATGATTATGATGATGATGATGATGACTACTTGCCATCAGACTAGGTTGACATTTTAGTCTAAAGAACACGTAAAAACCTCTTCCTGGTCACTATAGTATAAAGGTGCATAACTCTCAACCAGTCAGACGTTAAATATTTTAATTCTTCTGATCGAGTCCAGTTAATCCACTGACTTGGTGTGTTTAAAGCAGTCAGTGAGGACCCAGGTTAACATGTTGGAGCGTCTGTCTCTGCAGGCTGTGGTTGTTCTGTTTAACAGGCTAGCAGCTCTGTGGTCGTCCAGTTTCCCGTTTCTGATTGAAACATTTCCGCAGAAAGACGAACTGCAGAATATAAACTGCCCCAAAAGTACAAGAAAGAAAGATTAGAAACTTAAACATGTTTAGAAGCTGCAGCCTTTATGAAATTATTCATATTTGATAAAAGGAGCTCAATCAGAAAGGATTCAGTTTCATTCCTGCATGATATACCTACATTTCCACATTCAATTTTGGTTTGTAAAAGGTATAAAATCCTACCAAATTAATACATTTGTTAAATGCTCTAACTCTGATTACCCTTTGTTTTAATTCCTGTGATCAATGCATTCAGTCATGCTGGTGGGTCTCTATGTTCCACCTGTGGTTTTAGAAAATCTAGGTCAGTTAGTTTCTGCTACAGTGAGCAAGAAGCAATATACAGCTGCAGCTCTCTACAGCTTTATCAGTTCCTCTGGGGCTCTATGCACGCAGCTTAACTCTATATCACGGCCGACACTACAGACATGATTTTTTAGTAAAGTAATTAGATTCCTACAAGAGAGAAACCATAGCTACACAAAACTCATTCAAAACAACAGGCTCCAACAACCCAGGAAAACAATTTTTTTAATTTTAATCTGACCTGGTAGAACCTATACCTGCTTCTTTAAAAACACAGATAATGTAGAAGGCAAGAAATAATTCAAAATAATATTTAACAATTAAAGAAAATGTCTTAATAAAATAAGTCTTTAAAAATACTCTCTCTCTCTCTCTGGATTACTGTACTAAAACATAAGATAACTATAGAAACAAAGTCTCTTTGTTGTTAATCCTTAAAACTTTTAATCAAATATCTGTCAGAGCAAAAACCACAAAAACTAAAAATGGAATGAAATACACAAATGTATCTGTTATATTTGGGTGTCTACATCTAATCCTCTATCACAGGAACAAAAAAAAATCATACTCCATATAATAGTACTCTGATATCAGCAGTCTTCCCTCCCCTAAGACACCTCCCCAGCTCCTCCAGAGTATCCTGGGTTGTCCCCTGGTCCTCCTCCCAGTGGAATGTGCCTGTAACACTTCCCAAGGGATGCATCTAGGGGGCATCCGACAAAGATGTCCAAGCCACCTCAGTTGACGCTGACTCTCCTCTGAGCCTCTCCAAAATGACCGATCTCGTCAGCCTATTTTAAAGGGAGGGCCCATCTACTCTGTGGAGAAAGCTAATTCAGCTGCATATAACCGCTTGGATCTTGTTTTCATGGCCATAGGTGAGGATAGGTCAACAAAGCACATGTGGACTAGTTGGACAAACTCCTATGAACCCTCCAGCACCCTCCAGAGCGTGTAGAGCTTGCAGATGTTGACCTGGAGAAGGCATTCAACGACCGAAGTACCCTCTGGGAAGTACTTCAGGAGATCAACTATCTTGTGGTCCTACTCAAGAGTGAGGGAAGAATTAAAAGGGAGATTGATAGATGGATGCAATGGACTGGCAACCTGTCCAGGGTGTACCCCGCGTCTCACCCGTAGAGAGCTGGAGGCAACAGCAACCCCACGTAACCCCGCTTGGGATAAGTGTGACAGAAATTGGATGAATAGATTGATAGATGGATGGATTGATCAGTTCAGTTGCTGCTATAATGCAGAGCTGCACCAGTCTGTTGTGGTGAAGAGTGAACTGATTTCAGTAAATCTCCAGATTTACCGATCGGTATACATTCCTACCCTCATCTACGGTCATGAAATGTGGATCATGACCAAAAGTATGAGATCCTGGATACAAGCGCCTGTAATGAGCTTTCTCTTCAGGTTGCAGGGCAGTCCCTCAGAGATAGGGTAAGCTATCCACATCTCAGCTGATTCCACATCTAGAGGCGTAGAGGGGGCTCGGACATCTTTTCCAGATGTCCCCTGGTTGCCTCCCTCACAAGGTGTTCCAGGCACATCCTATTGGGAGGTGGCCCAGGGAATGACCAGGATACGCCGGAGGGACTTTGTCTCTCTGCTGTCCCCCCCCCCAGCAGAGTTAGAGGAGGTGTCTGAGGAGAAAAATGTATGGGAGTCTCTACTTAATACTGGCCCGACCTCTAGTAAAGGGCCCCGATTCTGTACCCCTGAAGCGTCCCCCAGAGGTCACCAGGAGGGACACAGTTGATTGCCTTCTCCAGGTCCACAGAACACATGTAAACCCTGTTGACCAAACCCCTAAGCACCCTCAACCACTGTGCAGAGAGTGTCAAGCTGGTCCACTGTTCCACAGCCAGGACGAAAACCACACTGCTCGTCCTGAAGCTGGGGTTGGACAGTCCACTGGACTCTCCTCAGCACCCTGGCAAAGGCCTTCCTGTGGAGGCTGAGAAGTGTGATCCCCCAACGGTTTGAATACACTCTTCGCCCGCCCTTCTGATGCAGAGGAGATACCACCAAAGGCCCCTTGGTTTCTGCTCGTAGATAAATATCTTTAACTACCTTTTCTTTTAAAGACTCAGCATCACTGCTTTTGGCCGTTATTCGTCCTGATTCAGATCTTTCTATTGTGGCAATAGCGATTTCTTTTAAATATGTGGTAAAGCGATAATAAGCACAGGTTCTACACGGGGACTCTGTATCTCACTACAAACTTACAAGTTAGGTTGACATCATATACTGGTCTTTGTTAACAAGTGATTTACCTATCTTTATCTGCATGAAACAACATTACTCAAATTTCAAGGTTTGTTTAAAAAAAACTTTATAGTTTTCAGCCTTTTACTGGACAGGCTGCTTCCTGAACATCCTGGCACTTTGAGGCAAGGCACAGCCTTAGGAGCAGGTCTCCTGTCCTGATCCAAGTGATTAGTAATGTATGCTTACTGTGCATTTAATGGCTCCTCAGAAAACCCCATTACTACGTGTGATTAAGGGATTGAGCCACTGTAGCAGCAAAAAAAAGTGAAGGAGACATAGAGCACAGATATCGAAAGTGGGGGAAACTTGTCCCACCCATAACCCTGTCTATTATGATCATAATACTAGATAATAATTATAGATTACCTAAGATACCTAAGTACTCTGTATTCATAAAGTAATTTTAGAGTAATAATCTGTTTAAAAAGCGCCTTTGAGATGGTTCTAAATGTGTTTTCAGCCCCCAGCCTTTGTTCCAGTTCATTGTTTTCTAGCTCTGCATGTTAAACCACAGCTGCACCTTCCTCCTGTAGGTGTTGGTGGGCTGTTGTTTGCGAGTGGTGATGGTTTCACTGCACAGTGGTCTGCAGATGTGTGTCTCAGCCTGTGTACTGTGACAGGATGTTCATTTTTATCTATGTGGTTAAAAGTGTCAGCTTAAATTGATTGTGCTGTGAAGCTCTGTGGTCAAAGTGTTTTCGCAGTTCTTGCAACCTTTTTTTCAGCTTTTTGCTGTAAATGCGTAAAAGAAAAATAAACTCTATGGACAGTATAACATAAATGGTATTAAAAACATTAGTATCAGCCTCTGGAGAAGGTGGTAATACTACAGGTGCAGTGTTTGAACTCATTTGATCTGTATCTACTTACAGAGAAATCACCATCTCCATTTTACTCTGGTGTGAGAACAGAGGGGCTCATTTATGGACAAGTCAAGACCAGAAAACAAGGAACCAGAGGTAAAACTGCTCCTGATTCGTTGTCCCAACGACACAGAGATTAGACAGACAATTTCAGCACGTCTTTGCTCACTCCTGACTTTCACTTTTATGAATTGTTGGTGTGTTAGCTTAAAGGAAATAGTTGAATATGTTGAGGTAGGAAGGCCAGCTCTGTGCTAGGATGACTCCTCACTGTGGGTGTGTGTGTGGGAGACAGAAGGACTCTAGCAAAAAACGCTTCACTATTCTGCAATGCATCCCACGTTTTAGAGCTCCTTTAGTGACA